TCCCCCTGCTTGTGGTCCCTCTCTCGCTGTGTCTCTCTCTGTCAAATAAATAAATAAAATCTTAAAAAAAAAAAGAAAGAAAAAGAAGGGCAATAGCAAGCATATTGGGGGCGGGCGGACAGCTATGAAGTGTGCTAAGAAGTTAAAAAAAAATCTGAAGCAAAGAGCTTCCAGTTTAGTGCTGATGTGTGTGGAGGGATATTTTACTGTTTGTCTGCTGTGTTTTTCTGCTCCCCTGTGCTCACTTCATTTCTTTACCTGTACTCCAGAGACCTCTGCCCAGTCCAACACATAAACTTTAGGGATAGGGGGTGACTCCGGTGAATGTAAAAAGTGATGTTAGTTCGATAGTCACTAGTTTAGGTGTGAAACAGAGTCTGAGACATTCCTATGGGATATGTTTGCTTTTGTCTCCAAACTAGCTAGAAAATTCCTAGGGTTGGGGATGGGTGGGAGGGGGAGAGGAGGTACTCCTAGATTAAAGCTAGCATCTATGCTGGAGCAAGTACCATCTTCTCCAGCACCAGAGAACATTGGGGAAACTGAGTTCGTGTGCAGTTGTCATCCTCATTGCCGTCCAGGTGAAGCCCAAGATGACAGCAGAGAGCAGGTCTCCTACCAACAGACCTGCAGGAGGGACACTATTCTGGGCCCCAAGACTTCACTGAGGCTTCATCTGACCCAGAACTGTGGAATATCCCTCCTCCAAATACCCTGACCCTTCAGGAGGGAGAGACTGAGGGGACCTGGTGGTGTGGGGGGAAATGGCTGCCTGACTAAGCGCCACCCGGGTGACACCTCCAAACCCACATGGTGATGGAACCGCCCTCCCCGCTCTTTCAGACACATTAAAGAACTTTGTTTGGCATTCTTTAATTAAGTAGACAGTTCTTTACCATTTTGTGAAAATTGAAACTCTAGGATAATTGTTGATTTTTTTGGTAATTGATGTAGTCAAGGAATGTCACTGGATTAGTTTGGGTTTTTTACTGGCAAACTTAAAAACTCGGTCTTTAATAATAAATTAAAGCCTTAAAAAGAAAATAAGGATGGAGAGTCTTGAAGGATATTTTTCTCTGCTCTCAACAAAAGATTTTTTAAATGTTTTTTCTCATTCTTACTACATCTCCTCCCCACAATCCTCGGTGCCTTAGGCACAGCTAGATCCATTGTCGATGCAAGATAAAATGGTTTTGAATGGATGACAAAGGGTTTATTAATTGTCATTAGGAAAGAATCCTGAAGAATAACAGCATAAGCAAAGTGTTCATTTCCTCTTTAGATATTTATGCAGAAGAGTCACTCATTTCAGTGGGTCTTCATTTCAGTGGGTGGTGGGTAATGTGCCCATGGGCCACAGCTTCCTGAAGGACAGTGACACACACAGGAGCTCGGTGGTGGTGGTGGTGGAGGGTGCACCTGGCCTTAGGCTACCACTCAAGAGGCCTAGACAAGTGTTTCATTGGCATAAATGAAAAGAGCCTTGCTAGAAAAGAGGGCCCTGTTGGCCAGGCTAAGTTAAGCTAAGCTGCAGCAACAAGAAAACCACCCAAACTCAGTGGCTTTACAGAAAGTTTAGTTAGCACTCCTGTCACACTCCAGTGCAGGTCATGAAACCTGCCTCTGCTTTGTAGGCTCGCCATCTGGATCCCATGAGCCCCGAAGCTTCAATACCAGGCAAGGACAGAGCTGGAGGTTGTAGAGGATGTTCTTCAGCGCCAGGATTACAAGTGGCATGAGTCACTTCGGCCTGTGTCCCACCTGTCCAGACACTCTTACATGACCCCAACCGCAAAGGAGGCTGGGAAATGTGGTTCGGCTGTGTGCCTAAGAAGAATGTGGTGGAGAACACATAGCATTTGTCTGCTACAGAGAGTCAGGGGGAAAGGGTGACAGCAGAGAAGTGGGGCAAAGAGAGCCCCTCTGTAGCAGGAAAGAAGTGTATGCACCAGCTTCTCTTGGGTTTTCTGGCCTGGGATGTGCAACACACACCATCCTTCGTTATACTTGGCTAAATGGAAGGATGGCAACTGAAGGGCAAATCGGTGAGCTGTGGCATCCTGGAATCCATGCCTGTGAATTAGATACAATATGCTTTTTTGCATAGGTACAGTCCACGGCAAATCCAAACCCGAGGAGAAGGCAGGCGCGGGGTGGCGGGTGGGGAGGAGCCTGTGTGCACCGAGACTGCGTGTTTCTGTAGGGCATGCGCTCAAACTACTTGAGGGGCCCAGGCCAGCTCTTCGAGCACCTGCTTACAAAGCCAACTGGAGGACAGAGGGGACAGAGGCTAGCGGGAGCCCCCAGGTATCCTCCAGAATTAGATTCATGGTCCACTGGGGAGGACACATCTACCATTCTATTCACTCTGAGAGCAGATCGAAACCCCTCACATCAAGATTCTAGCAAAGAAACATAATCCTTTAAGACACTTGCCTTTTAATTGTTGGCTGATTTTCACAACAACATAGCTATTCCCACGGGGTTTCTACAACCATTGTCTGATACTGTCCTTTAGGCTCTGCAGGAAGCACTCTGGAGATTTCTGACTTGGGTCATCCCCACGCAGCCTCAGACTCATTCACACTTTCCTAACAGGGCCAGTGAGTCCCAGCTCTGGGTGTGACACTGCAGGTGTATCTGGTTATCTCGGGGATTGGGGGGGGGGGCGTCACAATGTCTATAAATCAGAGTATAAATTTATTAAATTTACAGTAGCATTTTTAGGAGCATTTTATCTCAGGGTGTTTCCTGAGGGGGAATTTCGTCCCAGAAGCCAGGGCCCTATGCCTGCCCAGTCTTTCTCTCTCTAGTTTTAAGGAGCAGGTGCCTGTTTCTCTAAACTGATCTGCATCGCTTTGTCCCTTGTCACTTGGAGGAGGCAGCTTATCTGCCGAACCAGCCATCAGCCCTGAGCCAGGAATGACTGCCACGTTGAAAGGGGTTCAGAACTGGGGTACCACCAGATCACACACTGCACACCTGGATGGTGCAGGCTCTAAACATCTAAACAGAAGGGATCAGGGACAGCAAGGCAGTTAGAAAAACAGGGCAGATGGCTTGGGACTGGTCTTGAAGAAGCATTTCTAAAACAACCACACTTTTACCTGTACAGGATCTTACTGGAAGGGGAGAGGTTGAGGACAACTGAGAGAGAGGTTAAAGCTCCCTGCTCTCCACCCCCCAGAGCGTCTCCCTTGCCTCTTGTTCAGGTTTCCATCAGTAAATGGTCCGGACCAATGTCCCCCTTAATGGCAGGTCATGCTTGCCTCGAAGCTGGTGCACCGCACCGCTGCCAGGGCAAACTCAGCCTCCCCCCCACCAGGGTTGGGAGGGGGCAGCTCCCGCCCACCCAGCCTGTCCCAAAAACTGGGCAGAGGGAGGGGAGAGCAGCGGCCCTAAGACTGTGTCATGTGTAAGCCGCCAGCCAGACTGGTCAGCCTTGGATGCTTGCAAAGTGATTGTGAGCAGGTGCCCTGCAGGAGCAGACGGGACCAAGAGAGCCAAAGACCACTGGCGGCCGCAAAGTGACAGAGGTGAGGCGCCCTCCTCCACCTTGCAGCCCGCCCTGTCTGCACTTAGTCTGGAAGCTTCCTCCCACGGCAGTGAACGCGTCTCATACGTTCAGTGCAGGGTGTACCCCGAAGGACTTGGCACGGCTTTCCTGGCCCCTTCCATCCTTTCCCCCAGCGTGATGAGCACTGGTACTGTTTGAGCTGAGGGCGACTGCCCGCACGTGGGAAGGAGCCCCTGCCGGCCATCGAGATGCGTTTGCCGTCCCGGAGCCAGCAGGGGGCCCCGCATCCCCGGGAGAATGGGAGACTGCTGGCTGCCACATGGGGAGGGAGGTCCGACACCGCATAATGAGTGTCATTCTCTGGCGCCTTTGATCCTCATAGAGCCACAAAAGAAGTCCTGTCCAGGTCCCTCTTCTAAAGGTTACACAGGCCACCGCGACCACACATTCCTTCTGAGTGAGAAGAGGGAGACAGCGTGAGTGCGCCCTTCTGAGGGCCTGGATTGTGTGTGTGTGTGTGTGTGTGTGTGTGTGTGTGTACGCGCAATTTGCAGGGACCAGCAGCCCTGCCTCTACTTTCTGTCCAGGGACTATTGTTAGTTGGCCTATTAGGTTCTCATTAGATTTTCAGCTGCTGCTCCGAGTTTTCTTTTTTACAGAATAGAGAACAACCGGGGACTTGTTTCCTAAAGAAGAAAGCTCGGTGTTAGAAGGTTTTCAAACCTCTGAGAAGAGAGGGAGGTCAAATGAGAATGCGGGGACCTGGCCTTCCGGGATCTCAGGCCAATTATCCACGCAGAGAAGGTCCTTACACCTCCCTGCCCGCTCCTAGCTACCAGTGCTTCTGTGTTTAACTGTTGCGTGAAGACTTCCAGCGCCAGGCTCCCCTGGCCTGTGCTAAAATAAACATCCCTTTCATCGCTAGACTGACTTGTGGTCTTCTAGAAATTTTCCAGGTATGGGGCACCTGCGTGGCTCAGTCGGTTACGCATCTGACTCTTGGTTTCGGCTCAGGTCATGATCTCAGGGTCGTGAGATTGAGCCGTGCATCGGGCTCTGCACTGAGTACAGAGTCTGCTTGAGATTCTGTCTCACCCTCTCCCTTTGCCCCTCCCCCCACGAAAAATAAATAAATAAATATGTTTAAAAAAATTCTCCAGGTATATTTCCTGAATGAAGGTGTAGGGACAGGCATCTGGAAACTACCGGTGTGTTCTGATGTCAGCCTGTGGACCACAGATCACCATCAGAGCAAGTTACTTACCAGGGATACAAATAGTCATTTGTTTCTTATAAATTTCTCCAAAAGGGAAAAAGTTGTTTTTTTTTTTTAAATGAGCATTTTCAGGACCTCTCATATGGGGTCTAAGTACCCAACGGCTGTGGTGAGGGGCCCGGTGGTGTGTTCTGTCACTCCCTGCTTCATCCTGAGTGCTTTCTTGAGGGTAGCAGGTGGGGGGTAGAAGAAGAGTCCGTTCCAGGCTCAGATGTGGCCTTTGGTCAGCTGCAGATAAATTTCATGGATAATTCAGGAAAAAGAAAATGGACTTGGGTCATGCTTTGTGACAGCCAGACCAAAAACAAAGACACAATGATACCATCATAACCCCAGAATGTAATGTAATATTCATAATTGAGAATTAGTGCTTAAAGACACTAAAGTTAGAACCAACAGCCCCAATGAGTCATTTTGCATTAAGTTTACTAGGAAGAATCATTTTTCATGATTCCTCAGTGGTCCCGGCAATTATGTCTGTTGAAAGTACTGCGTTTCCTTTTTATTCCTTTTAGAGGTTTGCAAATTTTGACCAACAGGAATGGATAATAAGACTGCTTTAGGGCGCCTGGGTGGCTCAGTCGTTAAGCGTCTGCCTTCGGCTCAGGTCATGGTCCCAGGGTCCTGGGATCAAGCCCCGCATCGGGCTCCCTGCTCAGCGGGAAGCCTGCTTCTCCCTCTCCCACTCCCCCTGCTTGTGTTCCCTCTCTCGCTGTCTCTCCCTCTCTGTCAAAAAATAAATAAAATCTTAAAAAAAAAACAAACTGTGCTTTAAACAAACCTAAGGAAAGTATGTTGGTACTTTTTATCAATGCTCATTTAATGCACTATCATTTTAGGAAAGTGATTCCAGCTCTGTTTCTTGGTATCTCTGGCAACAAATGTGTGGATGTATCAGAAATAGTATTTGTTTGTATAAAAATATATTCCTCATGCCTTTTGATTCCTCCCCAATGGAGCAGGCATTTTACACTTGAAATGCAGATAGTGGAACAATTTGTCCATTCTAGTCAACTGCCTTAAAAACCCAGTTCCCGGGGCTCCTGGGTGGCTCAGTCGGTTGAGCACCACCAGCTCAGGTCCTGATCTCAGGGTCCTGAGATCGAACCCCTCCCCACCTCCTAGCGTTCCTCACTCTGTTTGGGATTCTTTCTCCCTCTGCCCCCCCACCCACCCCGCACTCAAGTGCAGGCACTTACACACACTCTCTTTCTCTCGCAAATAAATAAATAAATAAATAAATAAATAAAATCTTAAAAGAAAAAAAAAAAGACCCCAGTTCCCACCAGGTAAAACAACCTTCCAAAACCTTCCTTCTGCTCTCCTTCCTTTGCAGCCTGTATCCTTAGTACATCATTTGTAAACATTGCCACGGAGGGTTTGGGTGCTTTAATTTGTGCATCTGAAAGGATGGACAAAATTAACCATTTCCAAGTGACCAAAGCAAGTCTGCTCCCTTACTTGGAAGATTATAGAAGTATCTGCCCTTCAGTACATTAGATCTGCAGCTACATTAGTTGTCTCTGTGTCTTTAGATTTTGCAAAAGGAAATTGAAATCCAGCAAGTCGTATTAGGAGCCCATTCAAAAAGTGAACAAAAAAGCAAATGAAAACAACCCAGAACGAAGTGGTGTATTTTTCACTTTGCGTTTTGTAGGCATAAGTCCCTTCTTTATAATTTGCAATTTTTTCTGAGAGGTGGTGGATTTTCACTTCAGAGGCAAATAGTATCATGACAAGGCAGCCACAGGAGCCTGCAACAGAAGGAACAAACAACGTGTTGGCACAAATATTTCCTGATTGTAAGAGACGGGGAAGAGGGTCAGCAAACTAAAGAAAGCCTTTACCATCATCCTCATTTGCATTCTTCTGCAAAAAATACATAATTTCAAATTGGTAATCATGAGCCTGATTCTCCAACTGATGGGTGGAAGGGCCTGGGCTATGTCTCTGAGTGAAGAAAACTTGGTGGGGGTGGGGAGGGTAGAATCCGGCCGATCTCACCAAGATTGGGAGATGTTCCTCTCTGCCTGATGAGAAGGCTGGATTGCTGGGCACCTTAAGAGCACAATGGCGGAGGGGTGCCTGGGTGGCTCAGTCGTTAAGCGTCTGCCTTCGGCTCAGGTCATGATTCCAGGGTCCTGGGATCGAGGCCCGCATCGGGCTCCCTGCTCGGTGGGAAGCCTGCTTCTCCCTCTCCCACTCCCCCTCTCTCGCTGTCTCTCTCTCTGTCAAATAAATAAATAAAATCTTTAAAAAAAAAAAAAAAGAGCACAATGGCGGAATGAGGCTACAAAGCAGCCACAGCTATGATGTGGCTTTTAGAGAACAAATTTCTCTATACTTCACAGGCCTCGTACGAAAAACGTCAGTCATACAGGCCCCTCATGAAAGGGCCTAGGGCTTCCTTCAGAAGGGCTACTTGCCTTCCCCTCTCCTCCAGCTCCCACCTGGCCAAAGCGGCCCACAGGAGACCCTGGGCAAAAGGAGCCATAGGTAAGGTGTTGAGGCAAACAGTTATTTGTGCTTCATGTTTCTAACAGAACGCAGGATTTTTACTTGGGTGTGTGGCTGCCTTGAATAAAGGCTACATTGTTTGGTTGAGGAGGGGTGGGATCTACGTAGGGGCAGGAATGTTTCCTTGAAGTCTGCACCTATCAGAGGCCTGCCCTTTCTTTTCCCCCTTCCTCCTTCCTGTAGTTGAAATATGGATGCAATGGCTGGAGCTCCAGCAGACATTTCGGAGCAGGTGGCCTCAGAAATGCAAGCCATGTACTGTAGAAAAACAAGAAAGGAGGAGTCTGGATCCCAGATACCTGGAGCTACCAGACCAACCCTGGATTTCAAACTCTAGGTTTTTATGGGAAGGAAAAATAAATCTCTATTTTGTTTAGTCCACTATTATTATTTCCCCCTCATTTACCACTCATTGGTAGCCTAATCTAATCCTAACTGGTGCAGCTGAGGTCTGGGGTGAGCTCTCTGCAGGACAGGGGCACTCCATACTGAGTGGTGCCTGGAAATTCTGATAGGCCCTCTCCCACTGAAGATGGAGAATGGGAGACCCCCAGATGGGTGGATGGCACAGGGGGCAGAAGCAGGCAGCGAGACTGGGAGCACGGTGGATAGCCAGGATGCCAGGAACTTCTACCTCTAGTGTTGCATCCCAAGCCATTGGGGTTCCGATTAATAGGAGACTTGCTAGGTGGTCTTCTGACTTAGGTCACACCGATTTGGATTCAGACCCTGATTCTTCCACTTACTCTGTGAAATTAGGCAATTTTAATCTCCAAGTCTCAATTTTCTCATCTATAAAATGTGGATAATAAAGATGATGCCCGATTAACATTTGTCATCGAGAATTGACACATATAAATGCTTACTAATTGGTAGCTCTTCCTATGAATTTCATCTTGGAAGTCCTTACCATAATCCCTTACCCCGCCCCACCGCACACCAAAAAAACCCTGACTCTATCAGATAGGCCACCCAAAAGAATGCATCACAGTGCCTTATTCCTCCAAATACTCTCCCATTAGGTTTACAACTCCTTCAGGAGGGGTAAGTGCTTTTTGCTCTTCAATTACAGTTAATTCAAACACCCTGGGAAGCAGCAACATAGTGGCTTATTCATTCATTCCATTTGACTTGTTATGTGCGGAACACCGGGACAGTGGTGGAGATTTAAACGTTAAAGAAAATGCATGTGGTTTCTCCTCTAACAGAGAGTATAATCGGACAGGGTAAGACCATTATAAACCAATCGCGGTGAGTGTAACAGCAAGGGAGGAACAGGTGGCTGTTACTGAGAGGGTGGGCAGCATCATGGAAGGTTCTTTGGAAGTAGCTGTAGGAAAAGTCAGCCGAGCAAACGGAGGCTGGACTGTGTGGGGAGAGTGGTCTGGACATGAAGAGCTGGAATGCACATGGTGGCCCCATTCTTTTCCCAAAGGCCAGGTTTGGGCTGGGATAGAGGGAGAGAATTGATCGTGTGAGGGTAAGGGGTGAGGGGTGGGGTGAGCAGGGAAGGAGAAATCACACGTCTTCTATTTTAGAATTTTGCATAGGACTGACCCATCAGCTTGATCATCCTCCTAATATACCCCCCCAAATAATCAAATGATCTCGTTTTCTTGAAACTTCACTCTCGCCAGCGTTAGAGCAGTAGTTGAGAATACTCCTTTGTAAAATTTGTCAGCCTATTTTTGTGTTCTGAACTTCAAACCAGGGCTCTCCCCTGGCAAAACCGTACTATTCCTTTCTTGTTAGATCCAACAAAAAGGCTGCAATGCTGTTTTCTCTTTATCTTTTATTTGAAAATTGGGGAGAAAATGCCATTGCTTTTACCAGAAGAGCCTTCTTTGTCTAGGAGATGGTGAATTTCAGACAGAAGCGAAACACTGTATTGCCTTCGTGCTTGAAAGGAAAATTCAAGCTCGGTTTCCTTTTCAAGTTGTTAAATATTTTAAAGGTACTACTTTGTGAAGGAGACAGCGTCATAGTGAGACTGTATTTCAGATTCCTAAAGTAAAGGTTGCTTGGGCTATCTTCAGACTCACAGCCTTTCTCCACAGCTAATCATCCAAGCATGCGAGCTCCAAAACAGAGTGCACGGTCCAGTAGTTGAGAGGATGGTCTGGGGTTCTGCGAGTTTGACCATAAGGTCACCCTTGTCATTTCAGAGACGGAGCATAGCGACCTAGCTTGAGTTTCTGCCACCCTCATGACTATGAAGAGACATGCAGGGAAACGACTCACTGTGACATTAGGCTGTCTTTGCTTCCCTCTGTCCACAGCTCTAAAAGACATGTGGGACCAAGGATATGTGGGACCAAGGATAACTACAACTTTCAGACCAAAAGATACATACGAAGTGTATCTTCTCTTTGTGGCCTGGCTACTAGGCACATGGAGAGAGGTGTGTAAGGGATGGGGGTGATGGTGCAACTAGGGCTTGGCACTTTTCTAAAATGTCCTTTAGTCCCCAGCAAGGGGGCTCCTGCTATGGCTCCCACATTTGGAGGGTGCTCCTCTCTCTCTCTCTCCTAGAAAGACCCCTTCTCACAAGGAGAGGAATCCTTGAAGTCAATGGGATGAGCCCATTCCTGACCCACACTCTAGGCCGGACTCCCGGGACCTGGGAATTTTCTCCCCAAACAGCTCTGAGCACATTGCCAGGACTGCATGGGCATCTACTCTTCCTTGGGTCAGTCCTCCCAAGGGCAGACTTTTCAGCTGGTGTTGCAGAGCCCTGAGGCCTGAGGATGGCCAAGGAACAGCTATTTCGAGGGCGTGGTCAGAGCTTGGGTACTCAGGGGAATGTCCACACATGTATACCATTACAGTGCGGGTGGAACCAAGCGAGGGGAGGGAGGTGGACAGACAGGCGCCGGCTGGCCTCCATCACCACACTTGGGTCCAGAATCCTAAATGTGAATCTGGCCTTCCGGGTCCTTATGGAGAGATGTTTGTCAAGGCAGAAGGATAAAACATGTCTCACTAAATAGTTTATTAGCTTTTAACTTTTAAATGTTTGGACATGGGGTACGTGGGCTGTCATTAACACCCTTGCTCAAGGCCTCACAAATGTTAGGATCAGGCCTGCATGCTTCCTTCTTCCTTTTCCCGGGGAATCCAGGCATACCAGGAGTCCAAACTCAGCGGGGGTCATTGGGACAGATGCCTCACCTGTTCGTCTGACCAACACTGCTCCTGCTCATAAGAAACGTTAGAGTACATTAGATGTAGGAAAGCCTGCCAAGACTTGCTCCAGCTAGAATTGGGAACAAAACCAGGCGCAGGACCCAGGTTTTGCTGCCTTGCATCTTACTGAAAGACCAGCCATTTTCCTTTATGTGTTTGATTGCCCTGCCATCTGGCTGGTACTGTAATATTTTTCCCCCTTTAATGACTGATTACCGAGTTAATCCCCGACTGAAAAGGATAGCTGAGTTATACGGCTGTCACACAATGAATTACCAGTCAATTAACAAACATTTGTAATGTGCTAGACACTGCACACTCATGACTGTCCTCTGGCGGCTGTCTGGGGCTGCAGAAGTGGACGCCTCTCTCCTCCAGCCCTTACAATATAGGGAACAAAGGTCACAGCCAACAAGAAAGCTGCCTCTTCATCCCTGGCTGACCCTGAAGCCGACTATGCCTTCAGGGGTGGGAACATCCTGCCAGGATCCGTGGGAGTCCAGGGGACCAGGGGTTTCAGCGAAAATGTGTCCTCAAGGGTGAAAAAACAGCTTGGATACATTCTCCTACTATCACTAAGACTGTATTTTGGGGAAATAATAAATTAGAATTTCAATTCCATTTAAAACAATGGCCAACATTTCCAGAAAGCTAGCACGTCATCTTTAAACTCTCTTATAGATGACAAATATTAGAGGCATTCCATTTCCTCTACGGAATGATAAATTGATAATTTCCTTCTTTGAGGAGTCTTGAAAGATGATAAATGGGGGTGGGAAAGCCAGGGCTTTGCAGGTGTAGGTACTAATTTTCTGTGAAATCGTGCAATCTCAGTAGAGAGCCAGCTAGCGAAGGTGAGGTCTCCAGCAATAATTTTGTCCGCAAATGAGAGCAGTTCTGGCTCCACTGTGGTATGGAGACCATTGGCTGCCATCTAGAAGAGGGGCAGAGGGACAAGCAAAGCAAGTTAATATCTAAGAGTAGATTTTGAAATTGTGAAGAGGAGCGATTTGGTCACGCGTTTCCGAAGAGTAGGTGTGGACGAAGGAAC